AATCTAAATCTAAAAAAAAAAATATTTGTACACACCCCCACAGACCCTTTTGCATTCAAAAAGTTTTATGTTTAGATTCCGACAAATTAAAAGCCCAACCTTTTTAACTTTCATTTAAAGCAACTACAGCAGTTTCTTTACATGATACCTTTATACCTAAAAACGGTTTTAAGATTTTAATGTTTTGGATCATATAACTTATAGTTTAAAGAAGCCCCCCCCCCCCCCCCAATATCTGTAACGATTCTACCGCTTTCATTATTTTTCTTTTATTTATTTATATTATACCTTTTAAACTTTATACAAAGACAAAAAAAAAGCACGCGCACACACACACTTTCTCTACTATATTATGCTTTGACTGTAATATATCAGATTAATGAACTGGGTTATTGACGAGGTTCAACTATTTTTCTTGTCAAATTTGGTTTACTCGGCAGGATCTTACGTATAGCTGTAAATTCTTAAAGCAATATTATTAAGCGAAAATATCTTTTACCAATGTACAGAAAATTCTACATCCAAGAATATACTACAAGTCCACGACTTTTCTGGCTCTAAAGATTTTTTTCTATAAATTACTGAAGTTGCTCTAAAATAAAGTTAAATAGATTGTAGTTCTGATTTTGTATAATCTAGAAATGATGATAAACAACGGTATAGGAGTGTATATAAATGTAACTTTATTTTGTTTTTATCTTATCATTATAGTATTCACAGTTTGGTAGGGTGAAGCGAATACTTTATCGGTTCACTGATTGATGTAGTGGCCGTAGTATTAAAGTTATTAGATGTCTTTCGTGGCTTTGCGTTTGGATATTTCATGATATACTCGTCTAGTCCAGGTAAATCAGGCTCAAAGGAACGCACCACAGAAATCTCCACCACCGCAGTTTCTATATCAAACGAGCAGATTGATTAACTAACATGAATTCCCACCTAGATATATACTGCAATAGTAAGTTTACCTGTCCACATAGCGAATTTAACCACAATGGAGGCATTTAGCTTGTAGCAGTAAGGAGTAACAGGTTTAAATTCATCCGCTGTGGGCCAGAAAACTGAAGAAGTTTTATCAGGATACATGATCTATGCCAGATTTTTTTTTCTGTTAGAATCCTGTAATTGGTTTTTAAGGTTATAATCTTCTTTACCTCAATTGCAATATCATTCGGATCCGCGACGTTTAAGATGTCAGCCTCCACTCTCAGCTCGGTGGGAAATTGGTACACAAATCGGTGAGGTTTGTCGATATTTGAGATTGGGTGGGTAATTACAGCACTTGTGTGCCTTATGGGATTACTCAGAAAGACTGGGAGAGGTAGAAATGTCTAAAAGAACAAAATAAGCCCACGGCAGATAAAGAATATATGTAGCTTACATTGACAAATGACTGTAAAGCAGACACTTTTGCTGTTGAAGGTGAGATTGTTGCCTCTGCCAAATCTGACCTCAGAGTAGAAATACCGGAACATTTGTTATCATCTTTGTTGAATTTTCTAATTTGAAAATCATTAGTTAAATCATCAGTAAATTAGTAAAGCTATGGTCTCAGAAGAAACAATCAAGCACGTCTTTGTTTGTTCCAATTACTTTTCTATTAAAGTCATCCTTTGTAAAGAGGCCACTAGCATGTTCTTGATGGTAAATGGAGTTTTGTTTGAGCTAATTTATATATATATATATATATACATATGTAAAGTAAGTATATTTGTTCGCATACACGCATATACATGCTCATATTATTGTAGCTTGTAGACTTACATTGGCATCTGTTTAAGCATTCCAAACATCCATGTGATATTGGCCAGAGCACGGAAATACATAATAGAGTGGCGAGTCTCTTTAGAGAGTCCCAGAAATGTGTGTTCAATAGTATAAGAAAGACGAAGAAGAGATGCTGCTGCCATTTGCGCGGTTGCAGCATACGTTGGTGACGAGTGGCTTTGCTTAATCTAAAATAAAATGCAAAGTAAATTGTGATAAGTATTCACATTATATCATAATTTTTCTTCCTCTTTTATTTACTCTGATCACTAATTCACAGCATTGAAGATAAAGTATTGCCAGCTTAGATTTTCCAGCAAGGGATGGCTTTAAAGTCGCAATATATTCAAAATTTCTAAACAAAGAAAAAAAATCAATAAAGATATTAGGTAATCTTTGTATCTTACCTATCCGCTGCCTCGACTGTCAATAAAGCTCCAGTGTAGTCTTTGCGCTCTAATTGAAGGCCAATTGTTTTGAGCATATCAAGGGTGACAGCCATGTACTTTTCCACATCGTCAGTGACCAGATTATGTGCGGTAACTATACGTAAATAAATTAAAAAATAAGTATTTAAAACCGAGTTCATTATATTAAAATTACACACTAAATTCATTTAACTTACCTGCAAAATTCGTTGGCAAGCAATCAATGTCTCCTTGCAAGACAATGTTTGCAGACTTGTACATTTTCTAATGTACATAGTTAGTTCAAGAATCGTACAAATAATCCTCCACAAGTACAGCACAATACCCTCAAATCAGGAATGCAGTCTGGATATTTGCTTTGGTAATATGCAAAATGTCGATAGATGTATTTTGGCAGCATTTCGGATATACTCATGTTGGTTGTACATGCGTTTGCAATCAATATTACATTGGATGCATCTAAGTATTTTTTTTTAAAAAAAAATCACCTACCATTTAACAAAAAAAAAAGCCAAACTTACATAAACTATCTTCTACTGTAGGTTCTCTCGGAAGGTACCGTCTATCCAGGTTCAGTAGTGAAGGAACCATTGATCCTATATTAGACTGATGTCAGATTCTGAATATCATAGATGTGCCAGTAAGTGGGAGCTTTTACCCAAATAATCGCCATGTCTCTTTCCAACATCTCGTAAGCAACGGAATATTGAGAGCTGGTCTTCGGGAAATCTTTTCATATTTGCCATTAGAGCATCCAATAATGTTTGCATCGAGCTTTCTTTGTCAATTCGAATAACTCTGTAAAAATGAAAATAAATTATATTAAATTAGATCCTCGGATTTTTTTAGGGACGTAATATGTATGTATGAATGTATGTATATATTCCTTTCTTACCTAATAAGTTCATGTGTAGCTTCTCTTGCTGTCGGGTCATTATCTTCCAATGCTCCCACTGCAATTTCGAGCTGTTCTGCATTGAAAGAAAGGGTTTCCCGTGTTCCAATCTTGCGCAGACTTTGTATAGCGTTAATACGAACCCGGTCAATTTCATCGTTAAACATATCTACAAAATATTAAAGTCGGAGTAAGGTACTTAAATTTGTGCAGGCCAGCCCTATTATAGATATTTCAAGATATTTACCTACAAGACAGTCTACTGCACTACGAATAAGTTTGTCATTGTACATGCACAATTCGCAGATTGAATCTAGAATAGATGTGTAAGCTACTGCAAATCCCACAGTTCAGTTGTGAGCTTACCAATCGCAGCACTTCTTACTTCTTGGAATTCATCTTCCAGACCATGTACAAAAGCACCACATGCTCCTGAATCCAAAAGTCTAAACTCGCTAGAGGCAGCATCGAAATTTCCATCCGTAACAACTGTAGGCTTTAATAATAAGATAAGATAAGTACAAATTAGAAAGTCTTTATATATAAATCAATATTCAAACCTAACCTATTTAGATATATAACAAAGAATAAAAACTAGTTACCCTTTTCTGACCACGATACGTGCTGAATCCAAGTCTGCGTCTCAAGTTAGACATAATACGTTTGCTGAATGTCTGGGACATGACATTAAATTCGACATGTTGATAAGATGCCATCATGACACAGGCCTTTGTACGAACAACGACAGACGAATCGTTTACAAGATCACAAAGTTTCACAAATGCATCATCAATAAGTCGAACGGTATCTTGGATTTCTTCGTGAGCCAATTTCATTTTGTGATCTGGATACAGCGAACTCAATGTCCTGGTAGAGAAATACACACGCATATATATATATATATATAGAAAATGTGGCAAATAAAGTAATTAATAACTATATGTATATATATCATACAATACTTTTTTTTGGCTTACCACACCAGTCTAAGTCCACCCATTCGAACTTCTTCAAAATCGTCATGAAGTGATTTTACTGCGAGTGGATAAAGAGAAGAGTCTAAAGGTGATCCTCTCAAATGCATACCAACTAGTGCATCTAACGCACTCTATTTATTGTGGTTAAAAAAAACAAGCAAGAAAAATACAAAAGACTGGAATATATTACAAACCCACATACCTTTCGAACTCTTGGGTCGCTGTCTAAGACATAACTACTAATCACTTTCTGTGCTTCTAGTTGTGTGATTACAACTAAAGAAGTATCTGATATGGATCCTGAGCTATTATTCCACAACTCTAATACGAATGGTAGCAAGGAAAGTAAACGAATACAAATTGCGCGTACTCTATAATGTGGATCAGAAAGTTCTGATATAACACGTTTGAGGAGTTGAGTTAAGATATTTCTGCTCTCATTATCATGCACAACTTGTCGACCCTATATATATTCAAAGAAGAAGAAGAAAAGAAAAGACAGGATTCATCAAGTACTCTTGATTTGCAAAAAAAAAAAGAAGAAGGAAGGAAGGAAAGAAATAATACCTTGATCAAGCTAATGATACAGTTGTATAATTGACATTTCACTTTTGTAGATGTGGACTTAAGCTTATGTGCACGTTTGTTTTTATATATATATAAATGTAGACAGACAAACGGGTCAATTGGATTGGTTTTCTTTTTAAAAGAAAAAATAACCCAAAAAAAGTACCTCTATTGTAAGGCTTTGCAAGAGTTGGGCAGCATTGATATTGAAAAATCTAGAAAATTTCTCTAGTAACAAAACTAACATGGCCTAATAATTACAATTTCTCCTTTATCAGCCTGCTTATATATATACATACATATATATTTTTTAATTGTGCTCGACTTGCCTTTACATCGACATCTATTTCCTTTGATAGTTGTTCAATAAGCAATTCGGAAATAGTCTTTTGTTGTTTCCCGGTCATTAGAGGCAAGAGATTTGCAACTCGAATAAGACACTAATAATACTCAATGCAATTTAGGCTTAATGTGAAATCTACTATCAATTCGTACTTGTACACGGTCGTTGGGAGAAATTGACGATAGATCTTCTATACCAATCTAGCGGACGAATGGAATTAGATGATTATGTATGATCCTTTCTTTCCGTTGAATGAAATATTGAACAATTGGCTACCTTATTCCATTCTACACCGGAAGCTACTGAATACTCGAAATCACTAGGAAAGGGTTAGTTGTTGAGGTTGGCAGAGCTGTAATTGTTTTCAGACATTGAACGATTCATCAGCATTGGGAATAAGGATCAAAGATCGCGTATTCAATCATTGAAGATTTTCATGCTTTATTGTCTTCTCTTTCTCTCTCCCTTTCCCTCTTTGTATTATTATTTTTGTTCATTTTGTGTACAAGACATACCCACATGAGTTGGGTTTATTAAACTCATTTTCTGATGAGGTTATCTCATTAATATTTCGCTTCATAACAAGAAAGCTCTCCACTGATTTAATTCTATTTTATTGGGGAATTAAATATGTTTATAAAAAGAGCGTCCCAAAAATATTAATAATAATAAAATACCACAAGAGCTTTTTGTTGTGCAACTGAAGAGTACATTGCCTAGTCTCTTTCTCTTTCTCTTTACTGTATTTATATCCAATTTACGTCAGCATATTTGTGGCTAATATATGACATCTTGTAAACACACTATTTTTTTTTAAAAAAAAATCAGTCTTCAATTCAGTGTAAACTTGTAGTTCTGTACTTTATAGATTTAATGAAAGACCCCCCCCCCTTTTTTTTTTTTTAATTTCTTTGTTTTTATATATAGATATATTGGTATTTGAAGCTATTATTATTTATTTACCAAGCAATGAAATTTATTTTTCTTAATGAAGTTATTTAAAATTCAAACATTTGTATAAATCCAAGAGAAGTAAAATGGCAAAGAAGAGCTACGCAGTAAAAGGGTAGTTAACCTCTCTTTATGAATTTCACTTTGTACTCTTTGGGCGAAAAGTTTAACCCTGCAGGTAGAATGCTGTCCAGATCTACATATTCTGGCTTTCCGTCCAAACCAATTATCGGTTCTATATTGCACCTTGCAAGAGTACGTACACACACACTAAATGTTTCAACTTCGGCCTTAAATTACCAATTCACAGAAACAGGCAGAGAGAGAGAGAGAGAGAGAGAGAGAGAAGTTAGAATACAAGTTAAAAAGTTAATATGTGTAAACTTGTACTTACAAAATGAATTCCAGGACAGATACGTCTTCACCAGTAAATTAATAAAATATAAGTATACTAGCTTAGGATTTATTTGTTTGATTGTAATACTTGAAGCACAAACTCACCTTCCCCACCCAAAAGCGTACATATCACGTTCTTCGAAGCTTCCGTTTGATGAAATCGACCAAGTTTTTCTGCTGCCTGAAAACCGGTCGGGTATAAACTTATCTGCATTTTCATAGACATTTTCGTTCATATGCATGGCGTGCATACTACTGATTACTACGGTGTCCTTTGGTATAAAGAAGCCAAGGAACTCGACTACGCACATTAATAAAGATTAGCATCTTGCAACTTTATAAAATATAGAATAATAGACAATAAAGTAATATATCGACTTACCGTCCTGGGTTGTCAAATGAGGTACACCAAAATTTGTCACACTTCTAAAACGGATGTTCTCTAACAGGACAGAGATTGTGTATGGAAGCTCTTCTCTATCTGAAAATCCAGGTGTACGCCCGTTTCGAGCAACAAACGAGTCGATTTCAGACTGCATCTTCATCTGAACTCCTGGATTTTGGGACAAGATCGCAAAGAGCCATGCCAAAGATAATGCAGTTGGATCGCCTCCTGCACTAATCAAATCACCTAAAAATACAAGGTTTTAGATATTAACCAAATATTATTATGCGATCAAAGTCTACACATTTTATCCTTTCAAATACTTACTCGTCATGACAAGAAGATCGGTTTCATCCAGCTCATATTCATCCCTAAGTGAGTATATGTGCTTGAGAAGACAGTCCTGATCTCCTTCTAGTGCATCCTGGATCAACCTCTTGTACAGACTATCTCGATGGTTAATTATTGCCTCCGCTTCCTCTCTGTGCTTTGAACGTTTGTTGATCCAAGCAAGTTGTGGAACAAAGGAATCGATGTCACCTTCTGGCCCAGAATATGTAAACATTACTTCTGTTGTTTTGATTATGTCGTCAAGAGTCTCGCTAGCAATAAATTTGGCTGACCCCCCGAGTAGTGATCTGAGCATAGCGCTAAATGTTACGACTTTCAAACTGTGCATAGGAGAGACCGATCCGTTTTTCTCCGTTTCGTCCTCCAATTGTTTGATTGCCTTGTCAATGATGGTATCGAGTACTTTTGTAAAGCTTTCAACATATTTTGGGGATAATATTGAAATTGCTATATGATCGTTGTTATCATTTTAAACAAAATATGGTTATTAATACCATTGAAAAATATAAATAAAATGGTTAACACAACTTTTTTTTTGAGATTTTTAATTTCTCTTTTTCTTCTTCTAAATTTACCAATATTGCGTGCGTTCTTCCATTTTTTACTGGTCTTGTTGAATGGAATACCCCTAAAAATATAACATAAAGTTAGCTCTGATCGTCCTGTTGATTCCAATATTTACCTTCCACCTTTACTGTACATATCATATGTAAATTTGTGCTTCTGTCTGTCAGATGTCTTTATCCCGTTCCGAGAAAACAGCTCGTGAGCAATCGTAGGGTCATTGATTATAACCCAATGTTGAACACCCATGTTGAGGCGTATGATGGGGCCTGAAAATTTTAGTGGAGTATTAGAGAGAGGAAAAATAATTGTTTTCTTTAAAAATAAAAATAAATAAGAAAATACCAAGATTTCGGTGCCATGTTTGGAGTTGTAATCCTGGTGTATCTTTCAGAGATAGCATGTGCCCTTTTATGTACAATACATTTTAAAATATAGAGAAAAGGAAAATAAGTACACTTTTGCTATAATTAATGCTGCTTTAATAGCAATGCATATATGTATGTTTGTATGTGTATATACATACCAAAATATGGATATTTCTTTGATGGACTTGGTATTTTTTGATAGTCTGGGTGGCACCAGAAATCTTGCGTTTTTAGCTTCTGTTGGGCCCACATGAAGATTTTGTAAGTAATATTGGCCGCCATTCCTAATGCTATAGCTCCTGCCAGAGGAAGAGCACACTTTTCTGCAGACACATTCGGAAGCAGTGCGTTGTACATATTTAATAATAACAACAATAATGATAAAGGAATTAATGGAATATATCGAATATATCGAATAGAAAATAAAGGATGGTGGTTAGCTTGGGGTATTTTTTTTTATTATTTCTTTTAAATTCTCTCGTAAGAAAACAAAACGCACTTATATACACAAAATCTATCAAATTATTAAAGCTAATTTTTTTTTAAAAAAAAAAAAGTTGTATTTTACAAAAAAAAAACTGTATCTATAAATCTCTATTGTATTTTCTTGGGTTACTGTCCTAGTAAGTAAGATATAATATATACACAAAAATAAAAACAAAACAAAGTAGGCCTCCATGACCTGAATCCTTATTGCACCTATTCAAATTATTAAACTATAAAATGAGTAGCATTTAAAATATACTGTGTATATTATATATATAGACTTATACATATAAAAAAGTAGGATTTTTAAATAAACAAGGGGGATTGACACTGTGATTAAAACCGAAAACCAGGCTAGTTCGTTAGAAAGAAGTAGCTAGATATAGATACACCTCTTTAAATAAATATTGTTTCATTTACTGTCAATTATTTCTGTATTATTCCACATAATTGCCTTTTAGCAATTCAATTATCTCAAGTATTTTGTAAATCCGTGTAATTAATGTCTAAATTCACTTGTAAATTCAATTGTTATATTACTTCATACTATCTTTTGCGCGCCATGGTCATATATATTTATCTTTCTTCACCTTAATAGACCGATCGTGAGTGCTTTCTTTCTGCTATGCAATGTTTAATTGCTATTGACACCCTCGACTATATTGCGATACACACCTCAAGTCATTGCTATTTTTCTCTTGAGAGACACCCTCTCTCCTACTCACCCATATCATGTGTAGACATTTGCAAGTTTTAAATCGTGTACAATCAATTTACAACGCGTGTACTTGGAGTATATAAATCTAATAGCACTACCAATTCTAATACTTAATATTTATCTATGACGAATAGGCTAAGGCTTGGTAAATATCATAACATTTGGAAGTGTTTTTTTAGAAGGTAATATATATTTATATTCCACTACATGAATACAACCAAGAGGCCAGAACATTTAGATGTGCCGCCCACGTTGATTTAATGGTTTCAATTTTAAAGACCTTGAGACATAAATTAATGTAAATAGCAGGCTAGACATAGTGTTATTAGAACCTGTGTGAAAATTACAAAAACCCAATTTTATTTTTGATATTATTGTATATTCAAATACGGTATTCCTTCTATTCCTTTTTTTTTTCTTTAAGCATATATTACATGTCTATTTTATTGGGGCCTTAAACATACACACACACACATATATATATATAAAGAAAGAAAAGTGAAAAGACAAGGTTCCATTAGTGCTTTAATATTCTATTATGACAAAAATTCTCAAGAAAAAAAAAGGAATTTCCAACAGAGAGGTAGTAAATTGGAGTAAAACTTGAATGGTTGTAGTACTAATACTTATTCTGCCACCAGACACTAATACTAATAATACTAACACTAACACTAACACTATTACTAAATAATTAAAAAGGAGAATTGTTCCTAGCTTTAGAGTTCAAAACAATGCCCACATAAGAATTATGGCATGTCAAAAAAGAAAAAGAAAACACCAAAAAGCCCAAGAAATGTTGGTTAAAAATGACATATAATAAAAATAATTATTACAATACATTGACTTTCAAGCTAGAAATATTAAAGTGGCAGTGGGCTCTGTATTAAGAGATATATATAATGGGAATTATATTGTGTATTATACAAGCAAAAGAAGTTTTTAAGTATAAAAAATTAATCGATAAACATGGGGAGACTAGGCTTTTATTTTTACTTTATTTCTTTCCCAAGTCTGACCAACTCCCTGACCTTGGGAAAGGCTGTGTGGGGCAGTTTTCTTTTTCTTTAGTGCACTTATTATGACCATTGATCTTAGTAACCCAATAGGTCAAAGTTGGCATTGAGTCGACAAGGTTTCTTCTTCTTTTAGTGTATGTATAAGGGTCCAGGTATTCAAAAAAAAAGGGCATAATTGCATACACTTTTTACTCTACATCTTACTCTTTATCAACCTGGACCTCTGCAAATCGTATTCACTTTAATATAATTAAATTACAAAAGAAATAATATATTTACACATCCTTACTTTATTTTCTTTATTAAATATGAAAGAAAGTATATATATACCAGATGTTAATATAAAAATCATCAAAATTACATATTTTTTTAAAAAAAAAGTAGTAGTGATAGAATCATTCAACCAACTTGTAAGATGGTTTATTTAGCTATATCTATGAGATTATCTAACAGCAAAAGAGAGTTTGACTGTAAAGAGAATTGGATAACAGATATATAAAGTATCTGTTTGATTCTTTTTTCTTTGTGCTCATTTAGTCAAAGGTCAAGTGTACATGTATGTACCATTAATAAATATTCATTCTATCAACATAGATAAATTACTTCAAGTCTTGAGATCATGGATCTCAAGTATTCACCATTAAAAACCACGTAAAAAATAAAGTAAAATAATAATATAGATATCAAAATGATGCTTTTTGAACTTCCTTTTTGTATGTATAAATATTATATATATTCTAGTAGTAAACCTTAGTGGAAAGTACTGACTACCAGTGCACATATATATAAATTTTAAAAGTCCTCTACTACCTCCCTTTTTTTCACTTCCATCAGCACTAATGAGCCAGCATTTATTGTTCATTCTGATTGAAGAATTAAAATAATCCAACAAAGTCCTCATCTCTAGCCAAGCTGAGCTTCTCTTGGAAATAAAGGACATTCGTAAAGAAAATGCAGCCATTAGTTAAAAGTTGGACAAGATCCAGGGAGATCTTTCTCGGTGTGATAAATTCGACTCTGCTTTGGAATCCCCTTACGATGTCCCCGCTTCTCTAAAGGAAATTGGAGTATTTTCCGACATGCTCTACCCCCAAGATGCCATACGGATCCGAGAAATGAAGAAGGACAAAGAAGGCAGTTTGGCTGGGGACTTTGCAAAAAACTTGCCTGGGATGTTCTCGGATCCTCTCCCAAACGTCTTTCTATTGAGGACCTTGGAATTTGTATTGACAATGTTCGAAGAAGTCATATGATAAATTATGTTATTGACAGGGTTAACAGAGAGCATCACATAAATGAGCATACTAAGTGGGGTAGCCTTTCGATCCGTACACAGAACAGTGCTGCGCTTTATCCAGAATAATTGGCAGCTCCTCATTTACCACTGAGAGCTTGTGTTAGAAATTGGGGTGCAAAGATGATGCTGAGAAAATTTTGGAATAATGGCCTACCGATTTCTAAGCAGAATGACAATACAAACAACTCAAAGTCTGGTAAAGCTTTTTAATTTTTTTTAATTGTTGCCATTCATAATATTTACATATTTTTTGGGGGAATTATGTGGGATTGTTTTCAAAGATCATGTAGTATTCGATCATACAGCCGACTCTTTACAATGCAGCCCTCGATCACAGTTTAATACATTTGCATCACAAAATGTACCATTAAATCCTCTAATGGGGTAAGTTAAAATACAAACCAGTGTGTATTATGCAATCGGAAGAGCCTGTGTTTATCTATTTGTTAATCTTTCAATGTATATCAGAAACCCGTAGACGTATAGATGGTTCAGTAAACAGCATGTTCTCAATAGATTCTTTTAGACAATAATTTACTGACTCTTCATACCTAACAGCTACTAGCAGGCATGTTAACACATTAAAGTCAAACTGTGACAATGATGAGCTTTCCAAAAAAGACAGCTATTCATACCATAACTTTCGTAAAGACTTATCTGGACAAAGTGGAGTTAAAAAATCAAGAGGGATTTCACCAAACAACACTATTTGTAAGTATCAATCGAAACAAATGTTTACGATACTAAACGTTATATACTTATATATACATGTATATGTATATTATTATTATTATTATTATTATTACTTAAAGAAAAGTGTTTAATAAAGAGACCAATAAAACGGTGTCAACTTTGAAATCAACGTTCTGATAAAGGAAAGAAACGCACCACACGCAATTCCCAAATTTATTAATGTCTTTGAATCTTGTCCAAGTAAATAAAGAATAGCTTGAAAACAAACAAACAAAAGTGTGAGTTTATCGATGTTTGGGTTGTCTTTAAACAATGTATAGTTTGTGACCATGTGGTTTAATGGTTTAATGTTTCTTGCCTTTCAAAGACTACCTTAATTAGATTCTTTGAGTACGATATGGTCAAACCACCTTTTTTTTAAAGAAAAAATAGGATATTATTTAGCTTGGCATGTCCTTACACAGTCAATTGTCTGAACATAATGCTATTATAGACATGTGGTTTCTGTTTTTGTTTTTGTTTGCCATCTTTATTGTGTCGGTGCTAAACTCAATCGAGATTTGATAGGTTTATTCTAGCCAAAGAGTGCCATGGTCTGGTCCTGGTAGGTGATCAGTACGTTTTCTGTCCATGTAGTTCGATTTGAATAGTAGCCTGAATACAGACATTGCTCAATGTAATCCCTTTGGTTTTTCTAAAATTCAAAAAAACTAATGTGCAGATAAGTAAAACTTAAATTACACTAGGATAAAATAGCAAAGCGAAAAAAAAATTAAGGAAGGACTTTTGTAAGAAATCATCATGCGTCCTTGACAGTAGAAAGAAAGGCAAAGAAAAAGAAAGAAAAAAAAAGACCGGCCAATAAGATTTAATCATTGAAAGGATATCCACAAGTCTCGATCACAATTTTCCCTTATTTATTTATCCTACATAGAGTTTATATTTGTTTGCATATTGACGAGGGCTTGGTATCATACCACAAATTCAGTATATTCAAGTAGTTTCTAGAATAACGGTAGAAAGTTTTTTTTGCAAAACTATGCAAAGAAAAAAAGAAATATTGCAATCTATATCCTCAATTTCTATTTACTCTTATTTATATATCTATCTGTTTATTTAGATGACTGAGCTTTACCTTGGAACATTGTGATATTATATAAGTAATGGTATTAGAGGTCGATACAATCTACAATGTTTCTATACAATAAGGAGAACACATGTGAATAAACATTTAGTCCCTTTTTTTTTTGGCAGTGACAAGTAATTACTTTTTTTTTTTTTTTTTTAGAAATTCAGGTCTTAACCTGTATTCAGGTTGCCCACTCATACAACTGAACACTATATATTTGTGTTATTAACGCAAAGAAATAATATTTATTTATTTTTAAAGGGTATCATTAAAGAGAGCGATCATTTAAACGTATCATTAGTTAGTACACAAGATACAGTATCATTGCTCTCTAGTCTTTTAAAGTTAAATACACCACAACCTAGAAAAACTCGTGTTTTCCATTGATCAATTTCTACAACTTCATACGGTTTGGGATCCCCATATAGTTTTCTATCGCTATCCTTTCGCAGCTCAAAGCAAAGAAAATAATTGCTGCGTACTTGGCTTCTTCATCTGTGAGTATCTGTGTTCTGTAACCTCGTCAATTCCCAAAAGTTTTTTTGTAAACATGCAACCAAAGGTCCTTTTCAATGTCTAACTTATTATTATCAGATAAAGCAGCAATATTGGACAAAGACTGGTTGAATACCTCTATGGAACATTTAGGGCTACTGTGGGTTCTCCTTTCCTCTCCTTTCCTCTCCAGAATTTCCTTGTTGTGAAACACGCATTATATTGATGGGAAACTGATATTCCGCGTCGTTTTCGTCAAAATATTGCATATTACAAATATTTAAGCTCTTGAGAATAATGTAAGGCATGTTGAGAAGAATGTTCCCTGTACTCTGAGAGATGTGACCGGACACTTTCACTCTTATTAGATCCATAGCTCTCAATTCTCTACAATGGAAAGACATATATTCAAATGCATCGAATTTTACTCGAATTGATTTCAGATTTAGCTTTAGAAATCCATGATTGGACACTGTATTCGATACCCCTTGACTGACAGAAAATATTCCTCCGTAAAAAGTGAATCTTGTGAGGGAAGGGAGACAATTGAACAGAACATCCAGCTCGACAATTATATCAAGGTTGATCAAGTTTAATTCTGTCAGACAATGACAGTACTCAAAAATCGGCTTTTTAACATAGACTCTTACGAAGCAGGTTGGATAAGTAAGACTGAATCTTTTGAGAGTCGTCGAGAACATAGTTATACATGGCTCAGTGGTCCTTAGTGCAGGATCGGGCCCAGCAGGGATCGAAAGGTACCGATAATTCAAGTGTTTAGCTGACACTGCAGCCCTGTCAAGATATGACAATAGGTGTGTGACTCTCAGTGCTAAGGTTTCTCGTGTACCAACAATGACGCTCTCCAACTTGCCAAATGTACGAGGTAAGACTTCGAACAACTTGTCTATATTGGAATCCCAAGTTCCACTAATCATATCCGATTCCACAGAATTCTCCCATTCAAGGCTGCGTAGATTAGGGTATTTGTAGGCAAAATAAAATGGCCGCTGATAGGGCGTCCCGAATACAGTAAGATTCAAGCGAGTAAAATGATGGATTGGTTGTACTTTGTCGATTATTGACAGATCTTTTTTTGAAAGTGGACCTGGCTTAACAATTAGCGAGAGATCAGATAGTCGCGGTAGTAACTTGTGAAGTTTCTCAAACTCATCCATGCCAAACTGGAAAGGTTGGTGAGGGTTATAGTGGATCAGGTTCAACAGCGAGAGTCCGGGAAGTTGGGATAGAAACTTCATGGTTGCTTTCTTGTCAGAAAGAATACCCAAAGAAAGAGAGGCTATGGTAAGTTCTCGCAGTGATGATGTCCACACATTCCAACTTCCCGGCATAAAGCTCAATATATCTTCCTTGTATCTCAACATCGATGCAAATCCACGTAGGTTCGGAAAGCATTGTTGAATGGCTTTGAATTGGTTGTTGTTGATAATTCGTATAGTATCAAAACGTACATTCTTTACATAATAGCCGTTTTTCGGTAAATACTCTGTGGGTCATCCAATAGATCGAAAAAAAGCTTTTCATTTGTAGGACTTATATGGAGATCATCCCATAGTGATGCTTGAAAAACTGGTTGCCATGACCTGCAAACGGTTATGGATGAAAGTTTACCCTCTGTGTCTAGAAATCTTGAGATGTGAAAGAATCTCTAGTGGAAGATCAGATGCTAACATGGGAATTGAAATACATAAAAAAGATTACACTATTAATTTGGTATTTTTTACACGCCAAAAATGATAACCTCTTCTTCTTCTAATTACAACTTGCACAAACTAGTAGACACGTATATATTTATATATAAGTACTTGCTAATCATCGGGAATTTCTCGTCTTACCAGGTCACTCAAATTATTGTGACCGGACTTCCAATAACTGCTACAATTTTTGCTAAAAACATGAAGTATAAATAACATGTCAAAGCTCAGTCTTACTTCTTCTTTTTACCCTTTTTTTTCTTTTTTTTCTTTTTTTCTCTCTCTCTTTCTTTCTTTGTTACAGCCTGAATAATAATAGCTTCCTAAATATGAATCCACAGTTTACGACGCAAAATTTCTATCCTCCTATTGCTCCTGCTGATTCTCGCGTTATACGAGTAGAACCACCAGCACCCGTTTCTCACGAAACTCAAGTCGACGCAACAGAAACAGTATATAAAACCTATGCAGCTAAGCAAACCGAATATAAAGAGTGGTGCGATGAGGCATTTCCGGATACCCCTATCGAAACTCGCTATATCGTGAGTGGAGAAAGGCTTTGTTTGTTTCTTAAGGACTGTGTAAGTTTTCTTTTTCTTTCTTTTTCTTGTCTCTTATGTTTTTTTCCTAGTTCAAGTGATGTTGTAAGTAACGAAACTTAATATATAAATACTTGACTACATATATATATATGTGTGTGTGTGTGTGTGTGTGTGTATCTGTGTATCTGTGTGTATGAATATGAATGTATATGTATTTAGGTTATTCACCGGAAATACAGAAGAAACGCTAAAAAAAGTATCAAATATAGTACGGCACTATCTTACGTTGTCGCACTTGTAAATTTGCATCAACAACAAGTTAGAAGCGGAATTAACGACCACCCTAACCCTCGAAGGGAGTGCATTAGATTGTTGGATGGTATGAAGCTTGGCGATGAACGCGATCACCGCACTCGCCGTTCTGACCTCCAAGACCGTGGACTCAAAATCTTTCTTGATGACTACATTTCTGGAAACGATGTTTACAGAGTAGTCAACTACTACTTCTCCAAGTCAAACGCAAATGGCTTGAGAAATGCCGTTTCTTTTCTCATTTCCCACTATTGCTTGCTTCGTGGCGAATCTGTCAGAAAAGCCGAGTTTGCTGATCTAAAAACCGTTATGCTGGATTTTGAAGGCCCGTCAGAGTGCCCTGCACTTCTGCTGGTTTTGGACCATGGAAATCCTAACCGGTTTGGAAAGGTTGAGCTTTCGTCTTGCTTGAGAAACGTTGACGTCGAAATCTGCCCTTTCATGGCACTTGGTTGTCATTTTTTCTGGAAGTGGCATGTCGAAAATGAACAGTTTCCCTCATTTGAAACAACGGAAGACTGGGCCACCAACAAACTGTTACAATCTGGACAAGATCCAACAAAGGAACTGGCTTACTCAACACACGTGGATGCCATCAACAAGGCACTTGTTGCTTGTGGGCTTGACCCCGTAACGAGAGTGCATGCTCCCCGTGGATCTTCAGCAGGAATGGCAAATGTGTATAGTGAGGATAAAACGGACACAAGAAAATCAGGTCAGTGGGACAACAACGCTGTGAACAGTGCATATCTGGCCAGTCTGCCAAAAGGTATTATGCGGTCGATGGCTGGATTTCCATCTGGAGGAGGGCGCTTTTATCTCCCAAGGGCTCAAATCAGACCATCGGATTCTCTTCAACGAAAGATCTTCCCAGCGGTCGATTTCTGGCTTGACAGAATGGCATCTGGTGAATGCGAGCAGACAACAGCAGCGCGTAGCTTTTTGGAGTTGCTGAAGCAATTGAGAATTACATTTCTTCAGGATTCTGCAGTATTGATGAAGAAGATTCCTAGCCATCCTTTGTGGCATAATGGTATATTCAGTGACCCAGAGTATACTGAATTTAGAAGGTAATTTGAGCTCTCTTTAAAGAAAGAAACCCACAGTGCAGTGATATGAAATACAGAGCTTTAACATGGCTTTATGTGTCAATAATTTAGATCTGTCGACCATTTTGTGGAGTTGAATATTAGACCTGCAGATTTGGTTATACATAGAGCCATGGAAATAATGGAGAGAAGAATGCAAGATATGGAGACCAACTTTATAAACCACATGAATGCCATGTCAAGAGAGGTCAACTTCCTTTCAGGACGGATTGGTGACTTGGTATCTGGGCGGGTTCCTATTATGATGCACCGACCGCATGGGAATGAATGGATTGAACAATCAGGGCAAGCAAATCGACCGCCATCCCAAGTCCCTCCACCAAGTCAAAACATCGCTTTTCAACAGGCTCCTGTACATCAATTCCCTCCACCTCAGGCACCTCCGCCTCAGGCACCTCCGTCTCAGGCACCTCCACCTCCGGCACCTCCACTTCAAGCACCTCCACTTCAAGCACCTCCACTTCAAGCACCTCCACTTCAAGCACCTCCACTTCAAGCACCTCCGTCTCAGGCGCCTCCGCCTCAGGCACAAGCACTCCACATCCCTCCATCAAGTAAACAGCTTATATTTCGCCACACACCTGTACCTAAACCCCATGTACCTAAATCCTCTGCGTGTAAAGTCTCTGCGCGTAAATCCTCTGCGTCTCAAACCTCTGCACGAACTCAGCATGTCACTTTTCGCCATACGACTGTACCACCTCCAAGCAACAGCACGACCAAAGGTGTACAGACAATAACTGAATTGTGGAAAGAGTGGCATACGGGACTTTTTGGTGGTTTTCCGGTGTATGAGATGGAGACCCGGTTCGGTGATTCGTTGAAAGAAGGTGATCGACAGTCATTCAATATACGCAAGAAAATTGTTGAGTGCATTAAAGAGTACGCTGTGAATAATTCGATAAGTGAAGAAAAGGCAGTTGAACTGGCGGAGGAGAACAGAAAAACTAGAAAGAAAACCATGGATTTTTTGTCAAAGAATACCGACCACATATATTAATATTTTTAATAATAAAACTATATCTATTTCTCTCTTAATTCTTGTTATAATATCTTACTACAATCATTGTAAATCATTACGATAGCTTTATATTCCTCATCACTATCATTAACAATATATTAAAGCTTATTAAACTTAATATTTTAAATAACGTTAATATCCAATAAAGTTATGCACGGACTCGGACACAAAAACAAAGAAATAATCTGTCAAATATATTAAAATTGTTTATTGTCAAACATGAAGCTTCTATCTAAAGCAAAGTCAATATAACTGATCTAATATTGTCGTGATCAAGAAGTTCTTAAACTGCGATCACTTGGTTCAGACACACTAATAGGTAAAAAAAAAAAGTTCAAAAAGCTTGCTCTTTTTTAACGGCTCTAACTGGATAGTCTTCTCCTACTGTCACTTAGAATGAGAGGAAGAGCGTGTTTTTTGTTGAAGAGACGTACTATAGAATGCAAGGCTTAGAAAAACGCCTAATAAACGATTTTCGCATGGCGGAAGAGATGGTACAATAAGCACTTAATTTTATCTAATATGTATTTGAACTAATTTTGAGCATTCTTCTTAAACAATTTAGTCTGTTCATACTAAATAATAACGAGAAAGAAAGAAAAAAGTGCAATCGAAATGTATTTATATAAAAGTATAAAAAAGGGGAAGAAATAGTGCTTAATCAAAATTTTACTTTAAACCACACTTTAAATCTCGGGAAATCTTGCAAGAATCTCTTACTAAAATCGCGTTTTTTCTTTACCATAGTGTATTCATTGTCTTAATGTGCTTTATTTCTAATCTTCACTATATGTTTTATTTTCTAGATCAGTTATCTCGGAAATTCAAGGCTGTTATTTTTTTTAATGTGTTGCTTCATTAAAGTAGATGTATTTAAGAAAGAAGCATTTGGATTTTATTCTAAAAACGCTGTTTGATCAAAGCAAATAAATAAAGTATAAGATCTCAAGTGTTTCTCATGTAATCTGTATGAAGGAAATAGCGGTGTTTATTTGTTTACTTATTTTTGGGGAGTGGGGATATTTCATATTTAAACATCGGATATGTGATCGAATAAGTACGCGCTTCCTCGATCAATTTACTCAGCTTCATTGTCTTCTTCTTTTGGATTAATTTACTTGGAGTCAGCTTTCCCACTATCCTACCTCAATCCCTCCGGTTCCCCGTACCTCTTCCCTTCAATCATTAATTTTTTTAATACACTTTTTTTTTAAAAAAAAATGATCCTAATAACAATACTAAGACAAACCAAGATTTTGGTGCCTAATTGTTGTATTATTGAAATCAATGTTATAAACGTTCACGTCTGCCTTTGGATAGAATTCCGGTGCTTTATATAGCCATGATGTTTATTTGTAGAGCTTAATATGGGGTACATCAAACTAACCCTTAGTTGTGTTGTTTACCGGATTATAGCTACACAATATAATACAATGAAGTATACAAAATTAGAGTATAATAGAGTTATTATTTATAGGACAGTATATTTGCATATGCACACAGAAAATGTATAAACACTTTGATATATAGACTCTAGTCATTTTATAAATGCACGTTTTATTGTATGCTAATTATATGTATATACTTCAAGTAATTTTTAAAGAAGCGTTTGTCTTACCTGATCGATATTCTTTTTATATATATAAATATCCATGTTTAATTCGTGAATTAATAAAAAAAAAACAATAGCGAAAAGAAGGTCCGAAATTGACCTACACATGCACACATACAGACACAGACATGGTGGATACAAAATAACAAAGGTTTATTATGCATTTGAAGAAAAATGACTAAACTACCAAACTTATAATGTTTGGTTCACGCGGTTTAAGAAAAATTGTATTTCTTCAACCCACACAGATACAATACTTCTTTGACGGTAATATTGTTTTCTTTCGATTGTTGTGTATAATTGTTAGAATGAAGAGAAACCAAGAAATCCGCAATAAGCATGTATATAAATAAAGAATAGAATCACAAGAATTAGATGGGATA